GGGCAAAACCCACACCAAAAATAGTGCCGACAAGGTCATACAGGTCCGCTTCAAAAACCTTCTACCACTCCCTTACAACGAGTTGGTGGAGGTTCTTCTAGTTCACGCACCCGAGGTCGAGGCCGGGGACGCAGACGAGGAAAGATCAATTTAATTGTTAAATGGACTAGGCCAACCATCAAAATTGGTGATGAAGATAGTTCCGAAGATGAAATAATGATGACAAAGTAGAAGAGACCTCAGTACGAGATATCTCTAGAAGATACAGAGAAAAATGAATATGAAACAATGTATGAAACCACTATGTGAATAATATGACCCTTACTCCGATTCTATCGCAAAAGGTCGGGAGTTTTGAGGTCAAGGAAGTCCGTAGTGTTGGTTCAAAGCCGATCAAAATTTACCATGCTTCTAACTCTATTGAGCTTGAAAAACATGTAAATTTGGATGTTGATTCTAATGAATTAATGGAATTGCCTTTTGGTTATTTCTCGCCTTGTGTTCAAAGGTTAATTCAATAGGGAAACTTACCAAAACAAATGCCAAAAGATAAATTTCAACTTTTTGAAAAACTATGGAATGCTAAAAGTCGAACTCGCAATTCAAAAGAAGGTCTCGGATTTGGTACAGTTGGACCAGTCAATGATTCTGAATTTTGCATGTTTGTTACTAGTAAGTCAGAAGAGGATTGTCTCGATATAGAGGATGGCTCTACTGATCAAGAAATAGAAGATGCTCCCCCAGAATTTGAGGAGGAATTAAATCTACCATTGATGAATTGAAAGAGATTAACCTCAGAACTGATGAATGACCCTGACCTACGTTTATAAGTTCTCTACTTGATGATGAAGTATCTGCAGAACTGGTCACTGGTCAAACTATTAACAGAAGAATTCAAAGATTGCTTCACATGGAGCTATGATGAAATGTCAGGATTGTCAGCAGAGGTTGCAGTCTATAATCTTTGGGTGGACAAGAGTATAACCCCAGTAAAATAGGCTCCGATGAGAATGCACCTCGAAATAGAACAAGAAGTCATCGCCGAAGTGAAAAAGTTGATAGACGCCAACTTTGTTAAAGAAGAGCAATACCCCACGTGGTTAGCCAATATTATACCTGTTGAGAAGAAACATGGAAAGATTCGTGTTTGTGTTGATTTCAGAGATTTAAACAAGGCATGTCCAAAAGATGAGTTTCCACTATCTATATCAGAGATGATGGTGGATATTGCTTCAACACATGAGATTTTCTCCTTCATGGATGAATCGTTGGGATACAACCAAATTAAGATGGCTCCTGAGGATGCAGCACTTACAGCTTCCAGAACGCCGATTGGAATTTTCTGCTACACAGTGATGAAGTTTGGTCTAAAGAACGTCGGAGCAACATATTAGCGTGCAATGACGAAGATTTTTGACGACATCATTCACAATCAAGTAGAATGCTATGTGGATGATCTGGTTATCAATAGTAAATGGAAAATAGACCATTTGTACGATTTGAGGATTGTGTTTGAACAGTTACGATGATATGACCTTAAAATGAATCCCTTAAAGTGCACCTTTGGCGTTACCTTTGGGAAATTTCTAGGATTTGTTGTCTGTCATAAAGGAATCGAGATCGAACCAGATAAGATTAAAGCTATCTTGGAAATGCCTTTCCCTAAAACCTTGAAACAGATACGTTCCTTTCAGGGGAAGTTGGCATATCTGAGACGCTTTATTTCTAATCGCTAAAGTAGGCGTCAACCTTTCTCAACATTAATTAAAAAGGACGCCAAATTTATTTGGAAAGAGAAATGCCAGCTGGCCTTTGAGGACGTTAAATAATATTTAATGACACCTCCTATTTTGGCAGCCCTTATCTCGGGGAAACAATTGATATTTTATACCGCGACTTTGGATGAATCTCTCGGAGCCCTCTTAGCCCAAGTTAATGAGGAGGAAAAAAAATTCACTCTACTACTTGAGTCGTCGTCTTATACCGATGGAGATAAGGTATCCACCTATTGAGAAGCATTGTCTGGCGTTAATTTTTGCCTCCCAAAAGCTTAGACATTACATGCTTTCTCATAAGATTACCCTAATTTCAAAAGTTAATCCATTGCAATATCTGATGACCCGACCAACACTCTTTGGACGTTTAGCAAGATGGTCAATGATCTTATTTCAATTTGATATAACTTTTGTTCCCCTCCGTGCTATCAAGGGATAGATTTTAGCGAATTTTCTTGTTGTGCACCCACTGCGAGCTGGGTCCTCTCTCAATGACGAGTTACCAGACGAGCAAATACTACAAATGGAATTTTTTGCTGTGCAGTGCTGGGAAATGTAATTTGATGGTGCTTCGTCAGCCAGGAAAGACAAGGGATCAGACACAGTTATACCAGGCAAGGCAGGGATTTGTTTGATCTTTATTACGCCAAATAAGGATTTATTACGCAAAATAAGGGTATGATGAGGTTCTCATACCACCTGACAGAGCCGTGCACTCACAATGAAGCAGAATATGAAGCTTTAATCACCGGATTAGAGTTGGCATCTCAATGGATATAACAAATATTGCCATTTATGGTGGCTCTCAACTTGTCATCCAGCAAGTCGCCGGACAATACAGATTTCTGAAACCAAGATTAGTAGAGTACCATCAGTACACAATGAAGCTCCTGGAGTAGATTCCTGAGGTAACTTTCTACCGGATTCCTCGGGGAGATAATGCTCATGCCGACGCTCTAGCAAAACTCATTAAGGAAATGGCGTGTCCCCTGGAGGATTCCGTCAAAGTCACGGTGCAAGGAAGACAAGTATTGTCTCGAAACAACTTCGAAACTCTACACAAGCTTGGAAAAGAAGAAACAATAAATACAGTTGCAGACATCAATGAAGATTAGCGCAAGCCATTAATAGAATATGTGCTTACTGGAATGCTGCCAGAAGACAAGTCTGAGGCGCAACACATCATAAGAAGGGTCATGTCTTACACTCTGGTGGGAAATATTCTCTATAAAAGATCGTTCGACCAAATGTGGCTACGGTGTTTGAGCAAAACCGAAGTACAAAATATTGTCAAAGATGTACATGCCAGATTATGTGGTGCTCACCATTCAAGGCCAAAAATGAAAATGAAGAACAAAAGACTCAAATATTATTGGCCAGCAATGATGTCTGATTGCATGGATACAACCAGAAGATGTCACCAATGCCAAGTGCATGGGGTGGTCTTAAACCAGCCTTTGAATGTGCTACACCCAATTGTTGCCTCATGGCCATTCGATTGTTGGGGCACGGACATAATAGGTCTAATAAACCCTCCATCTTCCAAAGGACACAGGTTCATACTTGTCGCTACGGATTACTTCTCCAAGCGGGTAGAGGTAGTGATGTTATGAGAGGTTATAATACAACATGTTCTGCAATTTTTCAAAAGCGAAATTATCTACCATTTCAGTGTACCGCAATATAAAACAACATGATTTATGACAACGGGACAGTCTTCAAGAGCATAAAGATCAACAACTTTGTCAAAAGACATGGGATAGATTGCAATTTTTTCAGAAGACATGAGATAGATTGGAGATACTCTACAATTTACTATCCCAAAGCAAATGGTCTGGCTGAAGCTTTCAACAAGACACTGGTACAGATTTTCAAGAAAACACTAGATGAAAACAAGAGGGATTGGCATAACAAATTGTTAGAAGCCTTGTGGGCCTACCAAATGACTTTCGGGACTCCCACTCAATGCACACCTTATATGCTCATGTACGGGACCGAGGCCGTGCTACTGCTAGAAATCTAGACACCATCTCTCAGAGTCGTCGTTGCCAACCAACTCACAACAAAAGAAAGCACAAGACTCAGACTTGAAGAATTGGAGAGTCTCGAGGGAAAATGATTGGAAGTACAACAACATTTGGAGCTCTACCAGGCAAAGATGGTACAAGCCCATGAAAAATTGGTCCGCCCAAGGACATTCAAACTTGGTGACCTCGTGCTTGTGCTCAAAAGACCTATCCTTGCTCACCAGAAAATAGGTGGAAAATTTGAGCCAACTTGGGAGGGACCATTTGTCATTGAGAAGGTTTATACAGGAGGAGCCTACCAGTTAGTGGACTTCCGGGGTGAAAGACCCATGTTACAGATAAATGGACGATACCTTAAAACCTATTACGCAGCCTTCTCTGCTTACTTTGAAAACTTTGAAACTTTGATTGTTTTAGGGTTATCTATGTGGCCAAATTTCGATGACCGGGTCCAAACTTTGTAATGAACCTCAATATAATGAAAATTTTGAGAAGATTTTTGAACTTCACACGTTCTCTTTTCTACTTTTAAATTTAAATACCCTTTTAAATCAAACAAAACTCACACATCAAATGAATAATCATCTTCACCAAAACAAACTAAAATTTACTTTAATAAATAATTTGTTTTGTTCTTGTTCATGCCAAGCTTTGGCCCACTGATATTTTTTTCTGTCATCTGCAGAAGAATGTCAGGACAGAGGCTGGTCTTTGGCTTTCAGGGCGGGTGGAACCTCACTCTCAATAAAGAGATGGCACCGCAAGGAGGTGTCATAGATTTTAATGTGGATTTCAACCAAGTTGATATGGACTACGAGGTTCCTCTAATGGACGTAGTTTAGCAGTAAAGAAAAGGCTAATGGACGTAGTTAGCAGTAAAGAAAAGGAGGGACTGCCTTCATACAATGTGTCACGCAATCAATACAATGTGTCACGCAAAGGTAAAAACGTGATAGTGAAACGAGATCCAATGGAGGGGCCCAACCGTTTGCTCTCCATGGTAGCTACTCCAGCAAGGGACTTGATAGTCGTTCGTAATGAACGACTACCGAATACTCCGCTCTGCAAGACGCAATGCAGAAATGCCAGCTGAAGGAAATAAAGAGCCTTTTTGCGACAGGAACACAAATGCTGGAGAGACATGAACAGTTTTCTTACCCCATACCTGCGGGGCATATTTACGACCCTGATCTGAGAGAAACTTCTGCCAGCCTGCCCACTACAGATGAAGAGTAAAGATTTGTGACAGAATTAGTTGTGCTCCCAATTCCATATATCTTATGCAGAGGCTACCCAACATGAAACATTGAGGTACCAGTTGGGACATCAATCACGGGCGCATTTGTAGAATGCTTGGATTGCAACATTTTGCATCTACAACATTTTAGTATGTTAGAAGAATACACTTCAAGGACCAACGAGTCTCAAACTCTAGACTTCGCGACAAATGAACCATATGTCCCACAGAGGACGGATCAACATGCACCATGGAGCCCAGGATCATAAATTCCACTAGAGGCTGAATCTCATATTCTGGATCAATCAACACCGATTTGGTTTCCCGCCGAGGCCTGAAGTAAGGAACGCCCACAACAGCTGCCAACCCCTGGTGTGGTAGAATACTACAAGATAAGCAGAGTAAATAAAAAAGAATTCGAGTTCTATGAATAAGTTCTGGGAAATTTCGTCAACATATTGGAAGGCCTGGAGCTATATACCAGGGTTTTCTCTGAAATTGATGAAAGAAGCATTCTGGACTACATCTTTGAACATCTTTGATTTCTTTGATTTAAGAGATAGAGGTCGAGCGGGCCTTCTCATGGAGAGGACATATTTCGAGCCAAAGAAACAGATGAGGGGAAAGGGAAGAATCACCATCCAAGGCAGTTGTTGCTATAATTTTACAAACGACAGATAAAGGAATCTGCCTGGGATCCTCAGATACGACCAAGTGGATCCGTTACCACCGATGATAAAATGGATGATCAAGAGAATAGTCAAGTAGAATATTCTACCCACTACTTTCATTCCCAACAGTTGCATCATCAACATTTATGAATAAAGTGATTGCATTCCCCCGCACATCGACCATCATGATTTTGTGAGGCCTTTCTGCATGGTCTCGTTCATGAGTAAAAGCAATATTCTATTTGGAAAAAAAATTGATATAGTCGGCCCTGGGAAATTCAGAGGAGCTGTGGAGATTCCTCTTCTAGTGGGTTCAATGCTTGTTCACAAGGGAAACGGTGCAGATGTTGCCAAGCACTACATTCTAGGAGTGCGACACCGTAGAATGTCTGTAACCTCCCACAGAATGGACAACAGTAAAATACCGTATGGATTCCAGCAGGACCCAAAATTGGAGGAGTTATTTCCATACGAGCTATGAGAAGGTTGCACCTCTAAGTACATGCGAAGGGAACTCTTATCCTGGAGCATGACTTAGAAGGTATGCTTGATCAGGAGCTCAATATACCAGGTACAGAGGGTTCACATACTTTCTTTTAACAGCATGACATGTATCTGATGTATGCAGTCTATAGTGTATTCATATCATGAGATGATTCTCAATGTATTTTAGCATGGATTACATGATGTACCTTTTGAGGCATTAGCCTATGTCTGATTTATGGCATCCCTTTTTGGGGAAAATTAATGGAAATCTCTCTCAAATTATGTCTTTTTGTCAATTGCCTTTTTGTGCGATGGATGAAAGCTGCGAATCATGCGATGGTTCAGAATTTCAATGAACAAAGAATGAAATAACAAATCTTCAACAATAAATAAAACACAAATGAAAAATAATCACAAATGAAAAATAATCACAAATGAGTGAATAACAAAACAAATTTCTTTTAAAAATCAACCAATTAAAATTAAAACCTTAAGAACATATTTTTGAAAAATTAAATGTGATGAAAACAATAAGAAAATGAAATAAACTTGTTGAGTGGATGCTTCGGTTTTTGGAATTTCCTACTCTTTGTGCGCGTAGTACAACCATCGTTATCTACCTTAACTCTCTTCACATCCGCGCAGAATTTTGCATTCTGCACAAAACTCCACAAAGCTCTACAAATCTTTTTCAACAAAATTAACCTTTTCACATGACACACTTCTGCAAATTCAATACCACAAGCTCTATGTAAATTTCAAATCACATCTTCAAATCAGTACCTAAAACCTGATTCTTATAAATCTTGAGTTTCACATTTTGAGGTCGATACCTAAATTTTGGCTCTCTTCGGGAATTGATACCTACATTTCAATTCTCTCATGTTTGGAATTGATACCTACATTTTAATTCACTCATCTCCGGGAATTGATACCTACATTTCAATTCTCTCATCTTTGAATTGATATTTACATTTCAATTCTCACATTTTGAGGTTGATACCTAAATTTTGACTTTCTCCGGGAATTGATACCTACATTTCAATTCTCTCATCTCTGGGAGTTGATACCTACATTTTAATTCTCTCATCTTTGAATTGATATTTACATTTTAATTCTCACATTTCGAGGTCGATACCTAAATTTTGACTCTTTTCGGGAATTGATACCTATGTTTCAATTCTCTCATCTCAGGGAATTAATACCAACATTTCAATTCTCTCATCTTTGGATTGATATTTACATTTCAGTTTTTACATTTCGAGGTCGGTCCTTACATTCCGACATTCTCTTTTGAGAATCGATATACATTTCAATTCCCTTTTCTTACATTTCAATTCTCACATTCGAGGTCGGTCCTTACATTCTGACACTCTCTTTTGGAATTGATACCTCCATTTCAATTCTCATTCTCGAATCAGTCTTACACTTCTGATTCATTACATTCGAGGTCAGTCCTTACATTCTGACACTCTCTTTTGAGAATTGACCTACATTTTAATTCCCATTCTCGAATCAGTCCTACACTTCTGATTCATTACATTCGAGGTCGGTCCTTACATTCTGACACTCTCTTTTGAGAATCGACCTACATTCGACCTACATTTCAATTCAATTCTCATTCCCGAATCAGTCCTACACTTCTGATTCATTACATTCAAGGTCGGTCCTTACATTCTGACATTCTCTTTCAAGAATTGATATACATTTCAATTCCCATTGCTACATTTCTGATTCATTACATTTGAGGTCGGTCCTTACATTCCGACACTCTCTTTTGAGAATTGACCTACATTTCAATTCTCATTTCTGGATCAGTCCTACATTTCTGATTCATTACATTTGAGATTACATTGATTCATTACATTTGAGGTCGATTCATACATTCCAACTCTCTCTCTCTATCTTTTTGGATTGAAATATGAATTTCAATTCCCACCTCGGGGTCGACACTGACATTCTGACACTTTTTCTTACTATTATATCTATAAGCTTAAGAGTTTCTCAAGTCTTATACTTTAAAATGATCAAATATATAACTAATTTTTTATTAGGCACTAATCCTCAAGCTTCTCCTTCCTATTTTCTTTCTCTTTTTCTTTTTATTTTTCTTTTTTTTTCTTTTCTTTCTATTTTTTCTTTTTCTTTTTCTTCTCTTTCTTTTTCAAGCAAGGATTACTATATCTGGGAAGGCCTTTAATGATTTTGAATTCCACTTCTCCTTTCCTAAAGCAAAGTCTTGATATAAGTCTTTTACTTATAAATATAATAATAGTTTTGAATATTATTTTAATAAAACAAATTTAAGTAAAAATAAATTAAGTATTAAAAATAAAAGTCTAAATTATCTAATTTTTTAAAAAATATAATTTTTCTTACTAAACATAGTTACATATATTAATCGTTTTCTCATCTAAAAACTTTTTAACTTAAGGTTTTTCTTCATTAATAAAAGTTTAAACTGAATTTTCTTACTCATTTCTAAAATCAAAATTTACTTCCCTCATATAACTTCATATACATAATCAATTTCTTTCTTTTCAAATCAAATTCACTTGTATCACATTTGAGAACAAATAAAATTTCAATTTTAAAAATATTTTTCATCCCCCCAAACTTAAATTTTTAACAGATTAAATAGTTGAGCATCATATATATATAAGCAGGTTAAAAATATGATGCTAACAGGAATTTTAAACCCTAATGATACAAGTATAAAACTAAAAACAGGAGAAAAATTAATTTTTGATCAAATTTTTTATATTTTCATTTTACTTTAACTTGTAGTGATTCAATAGACTTCTAAACAGTGGGTATAAACATAAAATTGAACATACACACTACTAACATCATAATCTTAACATAAAGACAAACTTACAAACATGAAAAAAGAAAAATAAAGGGTAACAGTTTCTGAATTTCAAGTTTAAGATCTAAGCTAGCAAGATTTTCTACTTTATAACAGATATGAAATTAAGTTATGTTTAAAATTAACTAATCCACAGTACTAAACACAAAACAACAGTTACTCCCCTAAAATTTAAAAATAAAATACTTACTACCACAAACGTCATTATAACAATAAAACATAAAAGTCAAAAACACAACATAGTCCAAAACATCACACAAATACAACTGTACCTTGTACCACATCACATAGTCCATAATAAAAACAAACATAAAAATGTCTCAATCCTACTCCTCATCCTAGGAATCACCGCTATACCACTTTTCTATAGGCTCATAATCAGGATATCGAAGATATGATGGAAATTGCACTCTTGGGTCACCTCTAATCAAGCTCTGCAAAGATGAGTGAAATTTCTCTTCATAATCACTTTTGCTTCTATTATAACTATTAATATGATCTGCAAAACGCTCTAAATTTTGTACCTTATCAGCGGTAAAATTGATATTATCCAATAAAATTGATATTATTCATCATGTTCTGTAATAATTGATCCTGAGTCTCAGTAGAGTCACCTCTAGATGTAGAAGCATGTGAAGTAGATGGTCTAGACTAAGAAGCAGCAGATGTTTCCATTCCAGAGCTCCTAAAAATCCTCCTCTCTAGCCAAAAATTGAATGCTCAGAATAAGTCTTCAGATTCACCTTCATGATGGGCTTTTAAGGTAAAAATACTTCCTCTAAACTATCATATTTAACCCCAGCCTGCTCACACAAAGAAAAGATCAAGGAAGCAAATCCCAGACCTGCAGTAGTAATAGATGTAACAGAACTGATGATAGTCTGATAGATCAAAGCTCCAATGTTGATGAGCTTTCCCTCTTGAATACAATAGTTCAACATCGCACTTTCTCTGGC